GACAGCGACCATAAATCTTGCAATGTAAATGTGAGAACGTCGATCCACAAAAATTAAAGCATATGCTTTTCAGTTACTTACTCATAAGACCTAAACATGCCCATCAATGTGCCATAGACATACCTTGCTACAAACTAAATCCTTCAGTTCTTCCGGAGAAAGTACAGATAATTTCTTAGATAGATCATTGCGCTTGCCTATTGCACCAATGTTGGACAGTGCAAGCCCTCTTAACTGCAACCAACAGAAAGAGAGAATTTATACATTAATATCTTCCCACAAATAAAATAACAATTATACTAAAAGAGCAGCAACCAATTTTAATTCTCTCGCAATCACTTCACCGCCGCTCATAGACTGACCTTGGGAACCTTTTTATAAGCAAGTAGTTGAAAAGATAGCAGGCGGTCATAGTGAGATTGCAGCACCCCATCATCAGTCAATTGTGTCCCGACATGATCATTAATCTCAAAACGTTCATAAAACTGCAGCAAGTCAACCAGTTGTGCAAAGAGTTTTCCTTTTTCATGCCTATAAAGAGCACTTAAGTGGCATTTGGCTACCACAGCAACATCGGCAACAAGAGGCCTCAAATATCTGAAACCAAATCAGAAGAAAAAGTGAGAACAAACAAAACAGAAAATGAAGAGGGTAGAGGGGGAAGGAGGGGGAAAAAAAAAAGAAAAAAAAGGGGGGGGTTGGAGGGTTAATTTCCAAAAGCCTCATTTTTCCTAGAAACTGAAAAACCATTATATAACATACATCATACCTCAGAATACCATATTAATCATTATGGATTAGAATATCATTAGATCAACTACAGTCAGGAGCAACTAAAAACATGATGGAACAAGACTGGTAAGTGTGTGCCTGTGTGTGTCTGTGCTTGAGAGAGAAAGAGAGTCTAGTTATAGCAAAAAGAGAGAAAAAACAAAAACAAAACAAAAAAAACAAAAACAAAAAGAAGGAAAAAAGAAGAGGGATTATACCAGACCACGTCAGCTTCAAGTAATCGAGTTTATTCCAACATAAAACCAAATGAATTGGGGATAACACATCACAAAGAAATGTCCGACGTGCCTCCCCTTAAGGTCCAATCCAGATTAAGTATTAAAAAGAAAGACATTCAAACTTCAAAGGAACGGGGGTAAAAGGAAAAATAAATAACAATAATACCTTCTCGTTGGCAGTTGGCTCAGAAGGTCAATTAAAAATTCCATAAATCGTTCACAGTATAGGACACAGGCATCATCAATCTGTGCTAATCCATCAGCATTAATATGCATATCATCTCCATCGATAAACTGTTCCGAGGAGAAAACCTTGCAATCAAGTATCTGTACAGATATAAAATAGTGGCCATTACATCCTAGAGTGCACGATAATTTACCCAAAAAGTGTTACTAAATTGTAATTATGAAAAAACACCTCTAGAAACTCCTCAATGAGATTCCTCAAAAACTTTGCTTCAAGCCTGTTTAAGGGATCAAAAGGCTCTCCTCGCTTCGCAACTTCCTTGGCTTCTCTCTTTATCATCCTCTTCCATTTCTTGATCAAATCCGTGTTCAAACAAAGCTCCAACTACAATGAAAAAGAAAATCATAAACCCATGAAGAAATACACCCAGGTAGTTATAATCAATAAAATCATACTGGATCACTGAAGCCTCACCTGAAATCTACCGTAGGATAAACTATGCCATGATTGCAAACTTGCCAATCTAAGAATAGTCTCACTGACTATCTCATCTTCCAAACTCTGTCAAATAAGATTGTATTATATACTTAAATCTCTCACCACAATCCTTTTGAAAAAAAAAAAAAAAAAAAAAAAAAAAACAGCTAAAATTTGAAAAGATACATGAATCAAATATTGAAAAACATCAAACGTTCAACATCCAACAATCTATAGAAGGAATTCTCACCCACAAATCAAACTCACACATAAAAACAAAAGATAAAAGGAATACAAAATAGGTGAATAAAACTATGCAGCAAGAATCAAAAGGAAATTCTCTAATGTTATATCAGACAATTGCCTGCTCCTAAATTTGCTAAGTCTTGAACAACTAAAAAAAATCAAAAGAATCTGAGGCAACTAAATTCTGAGAAGGAAATCAATGAATAATATTAAGAAGCAAACATTCAGAGGGTGATACCTGAAACGCATTAATCATAAAGACCAAATAATTTGTCTTCTCTGCTATACTCAATTCCCTTCCCTGCAACCACAGTTCCAAATATCAGCCTCAGTCATTCATCTTAAATACTAAAGATAGTTTCATACACAATATTTTGTATTTGAATTCTAACGTGAGAGAGAGTAAAACAACAATATTGACGTCGTTTTCAAATAATAATTTAACAAAATTATTTAGTAATAATTCATACATGAATCAAGAGAATAAAATTGTGGCCTAAGCTATATACATAAATGTCATGCCATGGAATATCTCCAATTGATTTATTTCACCGTAAAATATTGTTAAACTTAAAAGAATAGTAAATATTCAACATGTTCCCAAAGTGTTAAGTCTGATACGTTGACACGTCGAAGAAAGTAGCATCTAATAGTAAAATAATAACTTAATCAAATGCTCTAATTCTCATTTGTCATTGGAAACAACAAATTACACTTTTCAAGGTTTGAAATCAGACAGGCACCCGTAAAGCAACTCCAACAAAGAGGTTGACCATAAACCCGTCGAAAAATAGCAGCTGTCTCAACCAATCCAAATCTCAACACTCGAAAGCATGAGGGCCAGTAAAACAGTATATCTCAATATTCAGAAACATATATAAACACTCATTGTAAGCTTTCCTGAAATAAAATATACGTAGTAATACCATATTACTTCATGGAAAACAACATAAGGATAAACAACAGTAAGAGCATGCAACTCTTTACCATATGTGGAGCAATATACTAATAAGGGAGAGGAGGATAATATAGCACAAACCTCCTTAAGACGAAGAACCCTCTCAAGAAACCCTTTAAATACATCTTTTCGGTCATAAAAACAAACCCAAGCTGCCACATTCTCCCGAAACTGCAAGTTCACAAAGAAACAATGTATATATTAAACAATCTTTATCTACTCTCCCTATAGCGTTCTCGTTTTCTAATTAGAAACCAGTACAAAACAATAACTAAGCGTACATGTCCAGTATCATTTACCTAAGCCACAAACAAGTACTTGAGTTTTAAATAAGAGAATATCATTTATAAATCCCTTGGCTTCCATACCCAAAATTGAAACGGATTCACACAATTGAAAACACCCTTATTCCTCTTCTTAATATCCATTCCACAGACTAAAATACTATACATCTTCTGCAAATCATAAGGATATAAACATCAAAAACAACTCCAACGCACTCGAAAGTTCACCAACCTTTTCGTTAATCATTATGATCATCGACATAACATGCTCGAAGGTCGCTGTCTGGGGGTCGAAATTAGGCCATAAGTAGTTCTCCAGATATTGGCTAACCTCCAATATCATTACTCTCTGCAATGGAACGGACTTCCTCTGCCCTTCCTTCACCATCAGCTCCGTATCATAGATTTCATTCACCAATTCGGCGTCGAACGGCTTCCTCGGCTCCGTAGAATCGCCGGCCTTGGACCAGTTGGCCATGGCGATCTTTGTGAGTCTGTCACGCTGGATCTCCAACAGCGTTATCGAGCTTGGAAGCGTCGATCCGGGCTTCGACTCGACCGGCTTATCGGTGAGCTGGTGGTGCGTCTCGACGGGGTATTCGGCGACGTGGTGGCGCTTGAAGTCGTACGCGCCGGTGCCGTACACCTTCGTCATTGTGAGAGAAGGGAATCTAGGGTTTTAGGAGACGCAAAGAAGTGGAGATTTAGTGTAGAGAAAGAGAAGAGTAGTATTTCAGTAGTTCATGGAAGAAGAAACTGGAGGGATTTTGGATTTTTAACGGTTTTGTGATAATGAATTTTTGGCTCACTTTTGCGGAGCTTTTGCGAATGGGGGAGGAAGAGAGAGGGGTTTTAAGGACGCTTAACTGAAAAGGTGGAAATAAACGGCATAGCGTTTTGAACAATATTTGATCCTACGACTTGTCGTCTTGAAAACGACTTATAAATTCTCATATTCTTTGTAAACACATTAGAAACGACGACATAATAATAATAATAATAACAATAATACTAACAACAACAACAACAGCAATACTAATAAAATAATAACAACAACAACAACAACAACAATAATAATAATAATAATAATAATAATAATAATAATAATAATGAGACAGAGATACTCTATTCTAGTTATGAACAACACGAAAGCTTCACGTGTAAAAGAATCCGATCATGTTTTATTCGGCGAACATAGGAAAATGAACATGTCGTTTTGTGAAGTGAACGGCTTTACAACTTTCAACGACGTGTCGCTTGATAAAAACGACAATAATTTTGAAGTACAATCTGCGCCTTGTTTGCGATAATAAAATTAGAAGACAACGACTAGTCGTACTTTACATAACGGCGGGGAAGAATTTCGTGGTAACAACATGAATTTCTTGTATAAACATGGAATACTTGTTTTTTCAGATTATGTTGGAAATGCAACTTCATGTCCTTTCAACGTTTCAACGCAGCAACCATTGAAGACAGAACGAAATGTCGTTTACATGTTAACGACAATAGAAATATGTGAATTAAGGCCGTTTTTAGAATTGATCCCGTTTTTATTTTTCACATTTTTTTTTTTAAATGAAAAACGTTTTCAAAACAGTGTTTAGCGCAATAAAGACAAAAAACAGAAATGAAAATGATTTTTTTAGTTTAATGTAAAATGATAGAGAAATAAAAAATGACTTTTAGTCGTTTTTCATTTTTTATTTTCATTTTCTCCTCTCGGGAGCAGAGAGAAAAAGAGAGACATTAATGAGTTTTTTTATACTGAAAATAATCTCTTGATAAAATTACTAAACACATTTTTAAAAATGACTTTTGTCTGAGATTAAAAACGTTTTCATTTTCATTTTTATACAAAAAAATAAAATTATTTTAGAACGAGTTCTAAACGCGTCCTCTGTCTCTTTCAGGAACCTTAATAAATTATTATAGATATAGTCTACACCTTGTTTCCCTAACAACAAAGTTTAGAAGAAAACTACAATTATTTAGAAAAGGGGAAAAGAAGAAAAAAAAAAAAGAAGAACACTTAGAGATAACTAGGAATTTCTACAAGTAAAACGACAGCAAACTTTTATTCCAGAAAACGACATAATTGAGTTCGTTTTCTGTCTAGATATTAACTAAACTCGTTGACACAATTTTTTTGTTTTTTTTCATTTTGTTCCATATGGAAATTATTTTCCACACTGAAAACGACCAACATTCTCGAAGTGATTAATTACGCAACTACAAAGTGCTGTATCCTTTGCCATATAAGCCACAAGTCAGGGGAAGTTGGTGTTACGTGCCGAACATATGAGAGAGAGAGGCATAAACATTATTATTAGAGTCGACAAACAGACAAATCACAAGAGATATTTGAAGCACAATTGTTCTTTACTCCCGTAAATCCTCATAGGACAATAGAACTAGAGAGAGAGAGAAGAGAGAGAGAGAGAGAGAGAGAGCACAAAAATGTCCACTACAAGCGCCAGTGAAGGAGATTCGCTTCCAAGCGAAAGGTAACAACCTGTCTCTCTCTCTCTCTGCTTATTTCTTTATTTCTTTAGTGTATCAATTGTTTTGTTTTTTGATAAATTGTAATTTTAGCTTAACCTTTGTTATCAAATCAATCTGGTTTTCAATGATATGTTTCTGGTTTCATATCTTATGAATCTGAAAAATCACTTAAGACTTGTTAATTCCCAGTTGGGTTCTTCTCTGGGCTCAAACAAATGCCGTGATTTATGATTTCAAAAACAAAAACTTTTTCTGGCTCTCTATCTGAAAAACTTTTCAGTACTAATGGGTATGTGAATTTGATTTATCTCTATTTATATGTTCTTTTGATTCTCTGCCTATTTTCAAAATCATGAGTTTCAACAAGGTATCTTATTCTATCAAGTTTCAACCTTTTTTTTTTCCCCATATGTTTTTACTCTTTTTTTTTCAGTTTTGTACTGTATTGAAGTCTGGAATTTTTTGAGTTTTCTGATATCTTTAGAAGATTTTACCCATTTACTTATCAGCTTTTCTAATTGTTTTTGTTTTCTGTTCTTTTTCTTTGGACTAATAGTAGTGCTTTCTTGTAGATTACTTGTCTTTGGATGTCTAAACTATCACTAGTTTTTAGCTCCCAAATGATCTGTTTCTGGTTTAAGATCTTGACTTATTAGTCCAGTTTTGTAGAAACTTGTTAATCTGAACCAGTTGAGTTTTAGTTTTGACCATCATAATTCTGAACTTAAACAAAAGCTATGATTATTAATGATGCCAAAAAAAAAAAAAAAAGAACTTTATTAGGGTTTTGCCTGGTCAAGACTTATAAGGTTCTCTGAGAAATGTATAAGTACTAATGGTTATTTGAACTTCTGTTATTTCTATTCGTCTGTATCTTTGGCTTCTTTTTGTCTATTCAAATTTTTTTTCTGTCTTTTTCTAATTGGAACTATCAATTTTGTACACCTCTTAGTTTCCAGTAAACTCATGTGCTTGCCAGTTTTATACGGGTTTGTAGTCTGAAATTTTGTATTTCCTAATGTTCTTTGAAATATTTTACCCAACTAGTTATCCACTTTTCTAACAATGATAATCTTTCATTAATAGTTCACAAACTCTCTGTCTCTCTTTAAGCTCTTCTATTGGGTTCATTTTTTCCCCAAAAATAATACAGTTAGTGTTTCTTTACAATGATTTGTGGAAGAAATCAAAGGGAGAAGAGAAGCTACTGCTAAAAAAGTCATTTGGACCTCACAACACTGAGGTGATACAGATAAGGCTGAAAAAAAAAAAAAAAGTAAATAAGCAAGCAATTTCAGAAGCAGAAGTAAAGAAATAATTTGAAAGGATAAGGTGATATTGACTTGACCAAATGTTAGAACCATTCCTTAAACTTCTTTCTTATCACAAATAAACAAAAGCCTTCAACATTGTCACATAAATTTTCTAGTACTTGCTAGCTGAATTGAAGGATTTTTGTATCATTTTTTTTTTCCTTTTCCAACTTTGGGTGGTCTAGTTGACATCTTCTAGTGGTTTTACCACATTCTCTAAAAAACAATGTCTTGTCCATTTTTTTCCCTCAGATTGTTGGGGAAAGTGGCATTGGTCACAGGGGGAGCCACCGGCATAGGAGAGAGCGTAGTGCGCCTATTCCACAAGCACGGTGCGAAAGTATGTCTAGTTGACATACAGGACAGCACCGGCGTGCAAGTCGTTGAATCCCTTGGTGGTGACCACAACATAAGCTACTTCCACTGCGATGTCACAAAAGAAGATGATGTTAGCCGTGCTGTAGATTTCACAGTTGAGAAGTATGGCACACTCGACATCATGGTCAACAACGCGGGTGTATCAGGCTTACCCTGCAACGACATACGCAAAACAGACTTGGCAGAGTTCGAGAAGGTGTTCGACATAAACGTGAAGGGGGTCTTTTTGGGGATGAAGCACGCAGCTCGGATAATGATCCCTCAAAAGAAAGGCAGCATTGTTTCTATCTGCAGCGTGGCCAGCACCCTCGGGGGTATAGGCCCTCATGCATACACAGGCTCCAAGCATGCTGTGTTGGGGCTCAACAAGAATGTGGCTGCTGAGATGGGACTTCACGGGATAAGAGTCAACTGTGTCTCTCCTTATGCAGTTGCCACAAACTTGGCTTTGGCCCACTTGCATGAGGACGAGAGAACCGAGGATGCGTGGGTCGGTTTTCGCAACTTTATCGGGAAGAACGCCAATTTGCAGGGCATTGAATTGACGGTTGATGATGTAGCTAACGCTGTGCTCTTCTTGGCAAGTGATGAAGCAAGGTATATAAGTGGAGTGAATCTCATGGTTGACGGGGGATTTACTTCTGTGAATCACTCATTGAGAGTCTTTAGGTGATGGATTTGTGTTGATTATTCGGCAGGGATTCTTCAGGTTGTATTGAAATTTTTTAGGTTAGTTGGAAAGATTCCTGCAATTTCAAACAGAGGTCCATATTTTGGGCGGGCTCATGTTTCTGCCAGACTTATTGTGTTTCTGCCTTTAACAAGAACAATATATATATATATATATATATATTACATGTTCAGAAATCTGGTTGAGTGATTTTGATAAAGTTTCAGCAAAAATGAGATCTTTAAGAAGGTAAACTAAATGTCGTCAAACAGTGTTTTGAGAAAAAGTTCATCACAATGAAAATCTTTAAGAAAGGATTTTGAAGAGTATTTAGCTGAAACAAGTCAAAGGAAACCAAAGTACGTTTTTACTATACCACTCTGGTGCATCAAAAGGGGCACTTGAAAGTTTCTCTTAACCACTTGAAGAAAAAATAACTTCATCTAATAAGCTTGTCTGGCTTACCCATTCTTTATCCCACTAGATTTTTTTTTTTTTTTCCCCATCAAAGAATTAGCATATGGTCACGCAAGGAGGCTGGTGACTTCAAATAATTCAGTGCATCAGTTGGTATTGCATGAGCCCACAAAAGATCCAAACTTGCTTCTATGTTTTGCCCACAAATCTGCAGTTAAGATTTTGAAGTTCCCCATCAGTAGTAGAAACAAAATGCTAGTCAGCTCCATTAGTGTTCGGCGTCATATCATAGAAGTGGGCTTTACATGTAATTGCGTGAGATCTATTCTTTTATTAGATGCAACGCTTTTTTTTTTTTTTTTTTTTTTTTTGGCTGTGTTTAGAATTATTCTTGTTTCTGTTTTTACGTTTTTCAAAAAAAAAATAAAATAATTTCAAAACAGCGTTTGATAAAATTAAAGACAAAAAACAGAAATAAAAACGATTTTTTAATTTAGGATAAAATGAGAGAAAAATAAAAAATGACTTTTAGTCATTTTTTATTTTTTATTTTCGTTTTCTCCTCTCTCGAGCAGAGAGAGGGAGAGACATTAATAAATTTTTTTACTTTCAAAATAATCTCTTGATAAACTACCAAATGCATTTTTAAAAATGATTTCTGTCTGAGATTAAAAACGTTTTCATTTCTATTTTCATACAAAAAATAAAATTATTTTAAAATGAGTTACAAACGCGTCATTTATTTTTTATCATATGACAAATATTTTTTTATTTTTTTTATTATATTTGTTTGAAACGGAACCACATCACACATGTGGTTCATATTACTTCAACTAAAAGAATAAAGACTCCAAGACCAAACGGCCTTTCTTCCTCTTATCTAACTACCATAGAAATAACTGAAAAAAACAGACTTCTGCACATTTTCCAATGACCTGTAATCTTCCCCGTCACGCTTTAACAGCAAAGTGACTCCCTCAACAGAACAAAAGGGAGAAAAAGAAAAAAAAAATGGCTTCACTTCAAGCTTCATGGTTTTCTTCCTTGAGCAACATTTCTCCCACAAACGTCAAGAAATCCCACTCCGTTAAACCATTCAAAGTCAGCTTCTCTCTGAACTCGTCCAATGGGGAAATTTCACAACCGAATTCACCAAATTCTCCAGACACTTCTTCTGAAGCCGAACCAGGTCCTGTTGACCCCGTTAAGCTAGCATTCGCCAAAGCTAAGGAGTACAAGAAGTCGGTAAAAGAGAGTCCAAAATTGAGAACTGAGCAAAACCCAGTTGAGGATTCGGTTAAAGTTGCATTGGAAAACGACAAAGAGTCTAAGAGGAATAAAGGCATGGTGAGTAATGACATGAATGGAGGGGAAAGCGACAGAATTTCTTCAGGTAATGAAGACAGAATTTGGTGGTTTTCAGTTTTGCTGATTTGCTGGCCAATTAGTTCTAAAAGAAAATTAAATTTGTTTTGAGGCTATGGAATATACAAGATAAAGATTCGTGAATTAGTTTCTGTTTTTTTACCCTTGTATAGTGCATGGTTTTGGAGGTTTCAAGAGCTTTGAATAGCATTTGAGCATTATTTTATAGTTTTACTCTCCTTTCTGAGGTTCTTTTGGGGGAAAAAAAAGTGTTTTATGAAAATTCACAAACTGGTAACCCAATTGGTTTCTAGGATTGAAGGAAAAAAGTGGAGGAAATTCAGGTACTGGGACTGTGGAAAAGAAGGATGTAAAGTTGTCAGTTTCAAGCATTGATTTTATGGGGCTCAACTTTGCTGATAAGAAGAAAGGCAGGGGACTTCCACCTGGTTTGGTTCCAGTCTCAGACCCTTTTCCAGAAGGGGATATTTCTGAGGTGCAGATTATTGTTGGAGACACCAGCAAGTTCGGAAATGGAAAAGAGAGCAGCTCGGAATCGGTTTCAAATAGCTCTAGTGGTAAGGCTAAGGAAGTGCCTGATTCAGTTAAGATTGCAATGGAAAAGGCTAAAGAGTATAGGAAGAATAAAGGTGTGGTTGATACTGACAGTGGCATAAGTAGAGGAGAAAGCGGCAAAATTTCAGGTATTTGTTGCAAAATAAGGATGTGACTAATGATTCTTCATTTTCATTGTTATTGAGAGTTGCTTGTGTGTGAAAAGCAAGGGTTGTTGTTTTTTAAGAAATTACAAACTTTGATGATAGTGTTACCTGTTGTTTGTCGTTGCGGCGTTGCCTGTTGTTTTGTGATGGACTACTGATGGTAATCTGGGCTAAAACTGAAACCTCAATCGATTTCTAGGACTGAAGGATACGAGTGGTGGAAATTTTCTGAAAGATCACAAACTTTTATGTCATATATATATATATATATATGTATGTATTTTTGGTGAAAAAGTACTAGTTTTGATGATAAATCGGGGCTAAACTAGTATCCCTCAATTGATTTCTTGGATGGAAGGAAACGGGTGGTGGAAATTTCATTAAAAGTTACATACCTTGATGATAATGTTGGTTTTTCTTTTGTGAAAAGTTACTAATGTTTATGATAATGTGGGCTAAAACTTGTATCCACTAACTGATTTCTAGGACTGAAGGAAACAACTGAGGGAAAACTTGACACTGGGACTGTGGAAAAGAAGGCTGACAAGAAGGGAGAATTCTCAATCTCGAGTGTTGACTTTATGGGGCTTAACTTTGCTGATAAGAAGATAGGCCGGGGACTTCCACCGGGGTTAGTGCCAGTTTCGGACCCTTTTCCAGAAGGTGACATTCCTGAAGTGGAGATTATTGTTGGAGACACCGGCAAGTTCCAAGATGCAAAGTCATTAAAGCCTGATCAGCCTCAAGAATCTGATTCAGATGTTTACAAACCGAAAGTTTCGACATGGGGAGTCTTTCCTAGACCGAGCAACATTTCGAAAACGGTCTGCTTGATGTTCTCGGTTATGTTTATGACTATAATTTATGGAAGTTGATTCAGTTGAACAATTCTTTTTTTGTTGACGTTGATATTCAGTTTGGTGGTGGCCGGGTTATTAACCCCGGGCAAGCACTTGAAACGGCTGACGAGAAAGCAGCTAAAGAAGCCCGCACAAGGAAATTGATTGCTGATTACAAGAAGAAAGTTGGGATGAACATTGATCCAAAGTTGAAGTCTGCGTGTAAGGAGGTTTGTTCATGTTAAACGTTTTCACTTTATCATTGTTTCCCATAAAAGACTTTTGTATATGTAGTTTATTTGACTTCTGAAAAAATAAAGTGCTTCTAAATACCCATGAAAAAATTATTTCCAGCCTTATTAACAATAAAGAATTGTAAGATATGAACAGTTTATTCTTTAGGATATAGAAAATGTCTTCTTGCAAAATAATTTAGAAACATGAAAGCTCTTAGAGAGAGAGAGAGAGAGAGAGAGAGAGAGAGAGAGAGAGAGAGAGAGAGAGAGAGAGAGAGAGAGAGAGCAAACTGAGAGAGTGATTTTAAGTACTTTGCTGATGTATTAGTAAGAAATTACAGCACAAATTCCAATACCATGTGTCGGAGAATTTGAGTGTAGAGGATGAAAAGAAAACAAATAATTTATGGATTTGAGGCGTATCATATACTTTTCTTTAAGGTTTTATTTGCACTCACTTCTCAAATTACTTCCCAAACTGCCACTGCAGCGCACTGGCACAGTTGGGCAGGCACTGCAGCGGCTCCAAACTGCTGCTGCAGCGCATCTAGCAGGAGCAAACTGCGCCAGAGTTGCTGCAGTGCGCTAAACGCGCGCTGCCGCGCCACCCACAGCCATACCTAATTGCTGTGGTGCTTCTCAAGGACCCCGGATTTGTGTAATTTAAATTGAGAGACATATTACAATCCCTCTAACACCATGTCCTAAACTAATTATCTGGTTTTATTTTTCAGGCATTGAAAGAGGGTGACTCTTTGATGAATCTTGGAAAGCTTAATGAAGCATTACCCTATTATCAAAAGGTTATGGACAAATTGCCATTCCAGGTAATTTTTATGACTAAATAATCTGAAATGCTATAGTTTTAGTGCATTTTAGATTCTTGATATGGCAGTACATAGTCCAATACTTTTCCACCTTTTCATGATGCTAAAAGATGCATTTTATTTGGAGAAAGTTTTTTGCTCTTGCCAAGGATTGATGAAGGTTTCTGTTCTTTTATTTCTCTTTTTTCTTCTGAATTCTTTGAGGGGTGGGGAAAAACATTAAATCAATAATCATGCCTTGTGCATATTCATTACTTATATTTACATTATTATTTATTTGATGTAAGAGTTTATTTACAGAGTGAACTTCATGGATTAGCTGCTCTGCAATGGTCTATTTGTCAAGATTCCCTTCGAAGGTATTAATATATCTTCTAATAACTTTCAGGAGCTTTCTAATTCTTGTGAAACTTACTTGCAATTCAATCTTCAAAATGAGTCCACTTTCGCACTGATTGACGATTGATAATGTCTAAATTTTTGTCACTAACGAACAATGTTATTATCTTCATCTTCAAAGCTTTTCAATCTATGGGATGATTGGACATGTTGAGTTATATTGCTTTATCATTGTGACGATTACTTGCAATTCAATCTTCAAAATGAGTCCACTTTCGCACTGATTGACGATTGATAATGTCTAAATTTTTGTCACTAACGAACAATGTTATTATCTTAATCTTCAAAGCTTTTCAATCTATGGGATGATTGGACATGTTGAGTTATATTGCTTTATCATTGTGACGACCCTCCTATGAGGCCGCCACTGTAACTTAAACTTTAACTTGTACTTACTGGGGTTTCTTAAAATTTGCGGAACATTTTTTTTTTTTTT